GTGGCTAGTTGGCACTAGCATGCCAGCCACCACCTTAAAAAAGTTCAATAAGATCCCCATTTTAATATTATCCAATCTGCCATGATTTACTGAGTGCCTAGTGGTACCCAACCTCTCTTAAAATAAATTATTCTTACCTATGCCCCCTCTCACCCTAATAATAACAAGGGGGGTTGTTAAGAACGCACCCTACTTCAAGAGTGTGCATGACATAGTTGTGGTGGTGAAAGGGTTAACTTTCACTATTTGTCTGCACTAGACCGGAAATAATGATCAAATCCCCCTTAACATCACCCACACGTAAGCTTTATAATATAAATATTACTATTTTAACACTGCCACCACCAAGACAATTTATAAATTGGTCCACCAGGTACTTAATAATAAAAACCCACCATATATAATTGCAAAATACTAATTAGTCTTTTCAGGTAAAGTGATTCTTTACCAGACAAAGGCAGAACTTAATAAAGGAATATTTATTATGAGCAAAAAATAGTCACAGTGCATATAAAAATATAGATGACAATCAAATTATTTACACCAACAGATAAAAACAAAAGGGATGAAATAACAGAAGTCCTAATCACTTACTCAGCATTTCAAAGTAAAACTTTTGCCCCAGGGGGTCTCTGGTAAGAAATATGGTGACTAACTTAGAATTAGATTCTGGCCCCTCAAGCAAGTACAATGCACACGTCAGTATAATTAGAGATATAACCTGTGGATTAAGACGCCTCGTCCAGAGGTGGAGTTAAGGCGTATCTATAGAGACAATAGATGACCACCCCCTTGTGCCCCAGACCAACATCAGTCCAAATGGAAACATTTGGTTCTATCTTCATATGGCTGAATCTAGACATACATGCTTTCCAAGTGTAGAATCTCACAACTTGCAGAGCCTTTGATTTGAGTAATTTGCCTTTTGTGCTTTATTCTGTGTGATAATTAGCTTATCTAATGAATTCACTTGACCTTTTCTACATCTCTGTTTTAAAGTGTCCACCCCTATATGATCCAACCAATGCGACAGGGTACATGCAGATTATTTCAAAATTGTTGACTTGAGTAATTAAAGGGTATGGAAGTTGTAAGGTCCACTTTATTAGTATATAGAATAAAATATTTGTCAAATGTTATGTGCCAGAGTGCATTGACACTTATTTACTAAATCATCAGTGACTCTTTTGAATATGTTTAAAGTAGTCAGGAGGCAATTTGTATATTAAACTTGTGAATCAGGGACAAAATGCTTATGCAAATATAATACCTTTTCCACAGCAGATTGTCTTTAATATGAAACATTCTGTGATGGATGGGCGTCTTATTTTTAGCAGTGTTTTTGAGGCATAAATAGTAACAATTCAATCTATGTGTTAGTGTAGGAAGATACATTTAACATCCAGGAATCTGCAGTAAATAAATATATTTGTGGGATGAGTTCTAAAGGAATTTCAGCTATCTGGAAGATCAATTTCATTATGACAGAGTATCAGTACTTTTGGATTTTGACACATTCCCACCACAAATTCTAAATCAATCTCACTTGCTGTTTTTGTTCTTAAATAGGATGTACCAAATTTAGCAAAGCATGATGTGAGTGTAAGATATCACTGGTAGGATGAAGATTGGTGTAAGATAGTTTGTGGTTGCAAAAGGTTCTATTTCTGTAAACAAAGAAAAAATGCCTATTGCCTATTACTTTCCTGAATATATTCCATATGTTTTTGTAGCTGGATTATTCATTGCATGAGCTGCACAATTTGAGAAGTCTCTCATTATGTCTGACATATTTCCAAAATAATATAACGAAGATATGTACTTAAAATTATTGTTAAAATATTTTTATTCATTATCAATTATGTTAAAGGGTTACTCCAAGCACCATAACCACTTCAGTGTTTTAAAATGTTGATGATTCAATGACCTTGTATACTGAGATATATTATATTGCTGCCATCGGCAGTTTTCATTAGCCAACCTTGATGTCGGTTCAGTCTGCGTAAGAGAAGGCTCGGCCTTTAGCAACACCCAGGAAAGATGAATACCAATGAAAAACACGGCCCCCTGTCATATACACTGCAGAGTGTTGTAGTAGTTATGATGCTTGAAGCAATTATTTATTGTAAAATACGTAATCCTGTTTTATACTGTTTTATAAGCTTTTATTTTAAAGGTTTGGTAAAATTATCGGGGAAATCGCTGTCCATATACTTTTTCATATAGTGTCAAAATTATTATTACTATTGCTAGCATTAATGATGCACTCAATATTTTATCATATGTGAACTAAAAAAAGGTGGATTTATCTGAGTGATCTAAAGTGGATGAAATAGTGGTGTCTGTGGTGTATTGGGCCAATGGTTTAGGCAATGTTGGCCTAATCCAACCCCATACATAATAAGTCCCATCATGGCTGATTGCCGTGTGGGCTGATCATCCCATATCTTTTATCGAACCACATACATAATAAGTCCCACTTATTATGTATGGGGTTGGATAAAAGATATGGGACAACATTTTACCTTTACTAAATGAGACAATACCACCCATACTAGACTTTTAAACATTTCTTTATCACATTATGATTCTCTGTTGTTCATTTGATTTTTCACTTCACCCACGAGGTGTTCACAGTGTCACGCCGCAGGCATGCATAATTGCGGCAGCATTCCCAAACTAAGGGGAATGCCACCGGTCTCTTACCTTTCCGGTCAACGCCCACCGGGTCCGCTCATGCCCGGGAACGGTCTGGAACGGTGGGCACGTCTCAGTCCGGCGGCATTCCCACTCTCCCTGTGGTTCGGAGTGTTTGCTTTCATTTCCTCAAACTTCCTTGTGGCTTCCACCTCTTCCACCCAGCGTGTTATCGAGGGTATGCTGGTCTGCTTCCAGTAGATGGGGATGGTCGCCTTGGCTGCATTTAGGAGTCTAGGGATGATGGATCTAGTGTCGTCATGGTGGTGTGATGGAATAGAAAGGTGGCTGGGGACCGTGGTAGGAGCTCTTGTGTGTTATTTTCCCAATCTTATCCCAAAACGGTCAGATTCGGGTGCATGTCCACCATACATGCAGAAACTTGCCGGTCTCCGCCCCGCATCTCCAGCATATATCTTGGATTTCTGGGTTCCTGGCGTGGAGCACCGTCATTGTCATGTACCACCTAGTGAGTATCTTGTACGAGTTTTCCTGCAGGCGAGCTGAGCTCTGTGTTTTTTGTATCAGGGTGATGCTTTTATCCCAGTCCACTTCTGTCATGGTTTCTGCTCGTGACTAGGGTAGTGTATATCTGTGAGATGGCTCGGGGTGGGTCTGCGTCTTGTGTGCAGAGGAGTTCAAACTGTGTTAGTTCTCTCAGTAGGGAGGGTGTTTGCTGGATGGATCTGGTGTATTGGGTAATTTGCGCTCTTGCGAGTGCATGTCCAAATGTGTGTGGTCTGCCCGGGAAGAGTTCGTCCATTTGTCGGATGTCAAAAGGGCGTTGGAGGAAGTCCTTCATGCAGGATATCGTTTTGTGTCCCGCTGGGCCTGGCGTGGGGCTGCTGGGTAGTCTGGGTTGTTTCTTAGGGGCAGGAGCGGGCCTAGGTCTGTTGTCAGATATTGTTTCGTGCCCTGTCTGTGCCAGACCTGCATGGTCGCCGTCACAAACGGGTTGGTAACGTGTTTGCGTCTGTATGCTGCCTTGGTGATCCAAGGTAGGGTTCTGAGGTTGAAGTTGGTTGTGTCCGCTTCTAGTTGGGTGCATGGCTTGATGCCGCTGGCCGTCGACCAGCTGATGATTCTGGTGAGGTGTGCGGCTTGGTAATATTTTTCAAAGTCTGGGAGCGCTAGGCCTCCTCTGAGCTTGGATAGGGTCAGTTGGGGATTTACCCTTCCATATGAAGGTGCGGACCTCTGTCTTGAGTGCCGAGAAGAATGTTTGTGGAGCGATTATCGGCACCGTTTGAAATACAAGGAGTAGTTTCGGCAGTAGTGTCATTTTGCCTGCGTTTACTCTTCCCAGCCATGATATATAGTAGGAGCGCCACCTGTGCAGTTCCTCTGTTGCTTTTTTCAGTATTGGGAGATAATTATGTGTGTAGAGGTCTGCCGGGTTTGGTGTGAGCCAGACCCCTAGATACCTCATGCGGTGGTCGCACCAGTGGTATGGATGCTGTCTCTGGATCGTTTGTTTGAGTGTGGGGCTTAAGGAAAGGTTCAGTATCTCCGACTTTGAGTAGTTGATCCGGAGGTTCGAGATTCGGCCATATATGTTGAATTCCATCTGTATTGCTCGCAGTGAGGTTTCCGGGTTCGTGACTACGAACATCATGTCGTCCGCATATGCTAGGGTCATGTGGTGTGTGTTTCCGACCGTCAGCCCCCGCATGTCTGCATTATGTCGGATCCTGTTCAGGAAGGGCTCTAGCATCAGTGCAAAAAGTATGGGCGAGAGTGGGCAGCCTTGTCTGGTTCCGTTATGGATCTGGAACGGGTCTGTCAGCACGCCGTTGATCCGGATTCATGCTGTTGGGTTGGTATATAGCGCCGTCACCCAGGTAAGGTATTTCGGTCCAATGGCGAGGGAGCAGAGAGTTTCGAACATCAAGTCCCAGTCCACCCTATCGAACGCTTTCTCCGCATCTGTGGACAGGCGTAGGACTGGGATCTTCTGTTCTCTGGCGTGTGCTATGAGGTTCAGGGCTCTTATGGTATTATCCCTCACTTCCCTGCCTGGGATAAATCCTGTTTGCTCCGTGTGGATTGTGGTGGGTAGTAATGGTGCCAGGCGCAACGCCAGGATGCTCAGCAGAAGTTTGAGATCCGTGTTCAGTACGGAGATCGGGCATTGTGTCTGGTCCTTACCCTCCTTCAGGAGAAGGGTGATATTTGCCGAGGTGAATTGGCCTGTTGGCGAGGCTCCGTCCCGGATGGAGTTCAGGGCTTTCAGGAGTTTCAGCAGGATGTCTTGCGCGAACATCTTGTAGTATTGGAGGGGCAGGCCGTCCGGTCCTGGTGTCCTACCCGTTTTTTCTTTTTTGATGGCGTGCGCCAGTTCTTCTGGTGTGATAGGTTCCTCTAGTGCTTCCTAGGGTGCGTATTCTTTGCTGAGTTCGTGCATCTCTTGTGTCGCCGTCTGCTTGCGGGTCGCGCAGATTGCTATGATTTAACCTTCCCAACAGGTCAGTGGGGTCACGTCGTCTGTCTCGTTGTCCCTGAAGTAGTCTTGTATATAGTGGCTGATCTGGTCCGTTACTATTGCGTTGGAAAGGATCGATTCGTTCAGTCGCCATGACATCTGTTTGGGTTTGAACAGTGGTGATTTCATCCGCATGCGGATTGGGCAGTGATCCGACCTGGTCATTGGCAGAATTTCCGCGTTGCTGAGTTAGGCCAGGTTGTAATGCGTCACTAGGAAGTAGTCTAGTCTTGTGTATGTTGCGTGGGTCGTTGCTTAAAACATATAGTCCCGGGCCGAAGGGTGCAGTGCTCTCCAGCAGTCTACCAGCTGGTGGTGGTGTAGGAGGCGGAGCATGTTGCCGTATCTGTTGAGTGGTGTAGTTCCATGTGTGGACGTCGAGTCCTGGTCTGGGTGTAGCACCAGGTTGAGGTCTCCTCCTATGATTAGGGTGCCTTCTGCTAATTTCATCAGGGTGTTTCGGAGGAAGTGGTATTGTTGTGTGTTTGGGGCGAATGTGTATGTTTGATCTAGTATCGTGCCTTTCATAAAGATGTACCTGCCCTGTTTGCTTCTTAAGGTTGCTTGCTATCTTCCATAAGGAAGATAGAAAGCAAGATTATTGTTCCGGACTAAACACTACGGACATTGCAAGATAAGATCTTCTTCCTTTTTTCATTAATTTTATCCGGACTCTTAATATCTTTTAAAGTATTTTTTAAGCGCAGCCCTTTCCTTGTATTCTTTGTGTTTTATTCTAAGGGTTTTTGAGGGATTCCCTTATAGGGTTGCTGCTAAGTTGTGTTATTCAGCGCTTACTCTTTGTTCTGGTTTTATGCTTGCTCTGTGTATGGGACTCGTCTTGAGAAGAGGATGCAGACTCTCTGTGTGCGCCTGTCAGGGTTGTGGCTGAAATATCCCGTGTGGAAGTTGCGGTCCTTCAGGGTCGGTGCCCTGCCTTCTTGGAAGTGTGTTTCCTGAAGTAACGCCACTGATGCCTTGTAGTATTTCAGGTCCCGCAGGAGTCTCGTGCATTTCTCTCTGACATTGAGGCCTTGTACATTGTAGGAGACTATGCAGAGGTCCTCACGGGCGAATCCGCTGGGTCCCGTGGCCAGCATCGTCCGGGCTTACACATAACAACATATACAGTGAATGAACAGTTAGATCCCCCTAGTGCTATTTTGTGGTGGGGGCCGATTATTCCATCCTGGGGAGCAGTCCACCTCTTGGTCCTCATTACCTATGTCTACCATTCTATCTCTGCTTAGTGTGTGTGGTTTTTGCTGGTGGCTAGTGGCCTTGTAGTATTTCAGGTCCCGCAGGAGTCTCGAGCGTTTCTCTCTGACATTGAGGCCATGTACATTGTAGGAGACTATACAGAGGTCCTCCTGGGGAGAATCCGCTGGGTCCTGTGGCCAGCATCCTCCAGGCTGCACGAGGGGGAAGCAGGGGTGTGGGGAGGGAGAAGGGGAGTGAGGATGTGTATGTGTGTGTGGGGTAATGCAGTCGAGTGTGCGGCTATGCTCCGCTTAAGTCAGTGTAGGTACGTGCGGTTCAAAGAGTCTTTTTGGTTATGTAGGGTAATGAACAAATGTCCTGGTGTTTCGACCGGTTGGTCCCACCTAGTGGTGGGCCTGTGTCGGTTCCAGGAGTGGTACGTCCCCTACTAAATGGGGAGTCTTATGCCCTATGCCTGTGGGGGTGTCAGGCTATATGTCCAAGGCGATTCGGTCCGCCACGTGGCGTCTACCAAGTTCGTACGAGTGTTGTGCGTAGTGGTGGGTACGGTATGAGGTGTGGTGTCTCCTAAGTGGTTGTGTGGCTTGAGCATCCACTCTGTCCCTCGCTACTAGGCATGTGTGGGTCGTCTTTTGTGTGCTGTGTGGGTTTGCTGCTTATTCTGCCGCTCTGCTAGCCTGATGTTGACCGCTTCGGTGGTGGCCTTTCTCTTGGGTGTGTCGTGACCTGGGGGTGGTCGTGTCCCATGAGCACATGGCCGGGGGTGCATGCGCGTTATCTTTGGGTCTTGCAGGGTGGGGGCGCGTTCTCACCGGTAAGACCGGTGGGTGTTGTTGGTCAGGTAGGGTACTTCCCTGTATTAGTCGGGTCTGGTGGTGTTATCCCCTAACTTGTGTCGTAACATTCATGCGGGTGCTGTGTGGGTGCGAGGGGGGCGTGCCTGGGGTCCCCAAGTCCTCTTTCTCTCCGTAGTCTCAATGTGGCTGTCGTGCCTATTCCTTGTGTGGTCCGGGGGTCCCGTGTGGTTTCAGGTTTGTATCTTGGGATATGTCAGGAACCACGTGGAGGCGATGTTGATGTGGTGCTTATTCTGGGAGAGCATGTTACACATAACAACATATACAGCGAATGAACAATTAGATCCCCCTAGTGCTATTTTGTGGTAGGGGACGATTATTCCATCCTGGGAAGCAGTCCACCTCTTGGTCCTCATTACCTATATCTACCACTCTATCTCTGCTTAGTGTGTGTGGTCGTGGCTGGTGGCTAGTGGGTGTGGTGTTTGTTCTGGCCCTCTACCACTTTAAGGCTTTGCCCGGGTTTTGTCTCTCAGTTCTCAGGCTCCTCTGCTCTTTGCCTCGGATTATCATGTATAGATACTCCACTTGTTTTCCCCCCGCCCAGTTCCCCCTCCCCCTTTTGTCCTCCCCCTCCCCCGCCTTTTGCTTCATCTCTTGCCTCTCCCTCTCCCCCCCAACCTTCTTCCCCCCCGCCCTTCCACCTTTTCTATCCCTCTCTCTTTACCTCCCCCCTCTTTTTTTTTCATGTTATTATATTTTCTGTGTGTGTTTATTTACCCACCCTTCTCTCTCTCCCTCCCTCCCTCTTTCCCCTTCCTCTGAGCCTGCCTGGATGTCTTCCCCCCTTGCCCTCCCAGGTTGCATCGCTGTGTGTCGCCCTCATTGTTTTGTCAGGTATTGTGGCTCAGGTGATTTAGGAGCCAGCTCATCTGTGTGCCTGCAGGCCCGTGGTGTAGTTCAAGTTAGTGTGTGCCCCTGTCCCCCTCCCCAAGAGTCATGTTTACCACCCTCGTGGCACCGACTGTGCTCAGTGGCTCTTCACGGCTTGTTCCACTTGGGGCGAGCTGCCCTGTCGTTGTGTAACTTGCAGTATTACAGTCCCCTTATTACCCCTGGTTTCCCATCTCCCACCCCAATGTGTACTCGTGCGGTTGTCATGCAGTTTTGTGTCCCCCCAGACAGTACTCACAGTTCGTCCATGTCCCCCAGTTCACGTGTGCAGGCTTCAAGGTGCGGCTTTCTTTTATTGCTCCCGTCTTGCATGGCCTTGGTTCCAGTCTCGTTGGCGCTGTTTCTGGGGCCGTTGATCAGGTCTGCGTGGTTGCTGCGGCCCAGGTGGTGATTGAAGGAACGTTCTCGCCAACCAGTCGGGTACTTGGAGCGGTGGCAGGCCCATGGCTGCAGGGCGGAGGTCACTGGGCGTAGGGCCCATGGCTGCAGGGCGGAGGTCACTGGGCGTAGGGCTCTTCTAGCTTGCAGGGTGTAGCGGGACAAGTCTTTGTATACCGATATTGTTTGGTTCTTTATGCGGATGGTACCCATGCGCCGGGCTGTGCGTAGTATGTCTTCTTTCAGTTGGTAGTTGTCTAAGCAGCATTTTATGTCTCTGGGTTGGTCTTCTGGTGCCGGTGCGGGCTGCAATGCCCTGTGTGCCCTGACTAGGCCTAGCCTGGGTATGTGTTGGCCCCACAGTACCTGGGTAAAAATTTGCCTCAATATGTCTGGTATTTTTCCGACGGGCCTCCCTCTCGCACCTCGCAGACACGCAGATTTAGTGTGCATCCATGGTTGTCCAGGTCATCTACCCATGTGGTGAGGTGGGCCATGTCTGCCTCATGGTTCGTGATGGCAGTGTTGGTCTGTTCTAGGTCGGTGCGGAGCGCCCTGGCTTCAGCCTCCACCACCGACATGCAGGCCTCCACGTTAGCCAGGTCTGCGCGTAGCTGGGCCACCTCCTCGAGGCTGTGGTGAGTAAATTAGGTAGTATGGCTCTCCACTCACCCTCCTGCGGCAGCTGTGACTCCGATGCAAGGGATGGTGCTGGTGAAAATCTGGTTTTACTGGTATTCATTAATGTGGGGATGGCATAGATAGGCCTTGATTTTATATTTTTGGATAAGCTTTTTTTTTTTTTTTGTGCAAGAAATAACAAGGCATCTTACATTACCACAACAGCACATGTAAGCACATTGGTAGTACAATTGAACACATATGTGTCAGTACGGACTCAGCAAATTTTTAGAAGTAATGACAATCATGATGTTTTTATTCGTGTAGTGGCATGTCTTGACAGTTTTAGCATTATAAGTAACACACGTTATAGCAGTTAAAGGCATGACCTGCTTAAACGAGTGATTAGCTAGGTATGCGGAGTGTCTGAGCATCATGGGATTAATTCCCAGGCTATGGGCATCGATACGTTCTGTTAGTACAGTGATACGTTAGGCTAGAGGGAGCACAATGGTATAGGAGTAGTATGCGCAGTGGTAGTACTGCTCTCTATTTTTGTTAAACCATACTAGTGGTGTAGTACCCTATTCCCCAACTTGCCCATTCAGATGTTTTATAGTACCCTGGTGGGAGATATAGAGCATGCAACGTGGGTACATTGGGTCTCATGAGGGAGTTATACTTGCTTCTATAGAGGAGGCTTTTTAACCGATGCCTACCAGATGGTGTATAGAGTCCTGTAGCCTGGTTATGAGCATTATTATCCTGCTGCTCCGGTCACGCTTGCCTCTGCGGGTAGGGACTCAGGTGCCATAGTATTTCTCTCTGTTTGGGAGTTTGTACTACCGCTTGTTTGTGTTGTTCCTCATGTTTTGTTTTCTATGGGTCCTCTGTTTCGGTAGGTGGTAGCGGGCTTTGTACCTCTTGGGGCCAGGCCGGGCGTTGGCTGGGTCGGTGAGTCGCTTCTCCCGCCATGTTGAGCCTGGAGCCATATGCTGCATCCAACGTTTATCTTCCGGGGTTGCAGGAGGGTCCGGAGGCTTGTGTGGGCATTTGTTTTCCCTCCTCTGCTCCCTCCTTGCCTGAGTCTCTCTGTCTTGCAGCTTTTGCCAAAAGCCGCTTAACAGCATGTCGAGCCGCTCTTCCAATGTCGTTGGTGGGCCTCGTGGTGCGGTTTTGGAGCCCTCCACCGCCATTTTAACTTCTGTGGTGAGGCTGGAGGTAGGCCACAGGGGCAGATGATTTACCAGGGGCCTCAGTGCGCCTCAGGGTAGAGTCTGCTTGCTTGAGCCGGGATAACCGCCACCGGCTGAAGGGGGGGGGGATGGGGGTTCCGATGGATTCAGTGCTGTCTTGCATTGCCGTCCACTGGGAGATTGGCCGCCTCTCCCGCTTGTGCAGCCGCTGGTAGGCGGCGTTTTGTATCTGGACTTAGGATGTTGCTCCGAGCATGGAGAACCACCCAGGTGAGTCTCGGGATGTCGCCGATCCTCTGCTGTCCCAGGATATCAATTTCAGTATGTTTTGTCGTAATTATGTCGCTTTTTGCTGGCTTCCTTCTTGGAGCTCTGTCCATGTGCGACCATCTTGGTCGACGGTTAGGCCCCACTCCCTTACAGTGTATTTGATTTGGTTTGGTTTCTTTCTTTCTTTTTGCATATCCATGGCACCTTGCTAAGTCTAAATGAGTGATCCAAACATGCTCTCACTCTCTAGAGCAGGAGTCAGCAACCTACGGCACGTGTGCCAAGCATTGCATGCCAGATGCCTTTGCACGGCACTCAAGGCTGCTAGATCCAAACAGGCTCTGGCCTATCAGGAGTTCCAGTGAAACTTCAGATATATGCTAGGGCAAAAAGGTGGTGAGGGACAATTCTCAATTTACGTATTGCAACACTTAGATACCCAGCACTTATGAACGGAAATCCACACTGAAGTAGAGCAGCTCACAGTAGCTATCGCAGTTCCTGCCCCTGACCTGTACCTGGCCAGCCCGGTACTCACTGGACCCCAAGGAAGCCCCTCACACTGCTAGATATACACAGAGTTGTAAAATAAGCCCCATACAAAGATTGCAAACATCCCACACACAAACACACACATAGATCCCACAAAGCCACTGGCAATAA